AATTATTGAATATAATATTATCTTAATCTTAATATCTTTATCTTAAAATTTTTTATATTCAATATGTTACATATTGAATAATTATTTTAAAAATATTTTAAAAAATATTAGATAATTATTATTAATATATAAATGTATTTTTTTTATTTAAATTTTCTTTTATTTGTTGTACTTAATTATTAGAAGAATTGAAAAAAGAAATATTTATAAAACATTTTTGACTATAATTTTATCATTGTTTCTATAAAAAATATTAATATTTTTAAAAATCAATTAATAATGTAATATGGTTTTATAATCCAAAAAAAAAATTTAATAATAAAAAATAAAAAAAATTATATATCATAATGTAATTTATTAACTTATTTTAATTTTTTAAATTATTAATATTTTATTAATATTTATTAACAATGAAAAAAATTGAATGTTTAAGTCACAATGTTTAACGATAGGGAATAAACAAAAAGTCTAATAATATGAATCGAAATCTAATGAATAAAATATTTAATAATAATAAATATAAAATAATATAAAAGAAAAATTATTAATGTATTTTTTACATAAATTTTTACAAAAATATTTTATTTGAAATCTTATTAAAATAACAAAGAATAGTTTGTCAATATTTATATATTATATTATTATATATTTATAATTCTCTTCATATCCAGTTCCAGTTAATAATCAAAAATAAAAAATAGACTATATATTTATATATATATATTATTATACATACTTTTGTACATACCATTTCAATTGACTAAATAATTTATTTTTGCAAAATTCATTTAATTTGATTATGCAACGTGAGTCAAGAGTTATTTAGAAAGAACCTCCGTCAAGCTTGTTATCCTGTGAAATAGGCGCGCAATTCTGCATCACTTTACTCATTGAGAATATTCCACCTCCACAGAAGATCCCATGGGAATCAAAAGGATTATTGTTATTAGTATAGCACTTCGAATCTTCTTCTGACCGCCTGATACGATAGTTCCCAATTTTCAGGTAAATCGGTAGTTTTTCTAATAAATTATCTGACTAGTATCTAATAAATCTGGAAATTCTTAACCTAAATATAAATATTTTCTAAATAACGTGGATACCTGAGTAAATTCTATAAGATGCGAATTCTTTAAAAAAGAATGGAATTGATTAGAAATCTTTTAATATTCAGAAATAATTCAAAATAAAAGACAAATGAAAGAAATTCATTGATTTCTAATTTTGGCTTTTTTCTGCTTCTTTATTAAATTATCCTTCTTGTCTTTCAGTAATTATGTTGATTTGTTATGTCAAAAGCGTTTTCATCAATCTCGGTATATCTTGTTATAAACAGGAGGACATGAGCAAGTGGAATATCTGAAATCTATCGGTATAGTCATATTCCATTTGTTCTGTATCGATAAAATAGAAAACTATAAAATCGACACAATTTATAAATGTCAAATATAGAAATAGATCAATCATATATTTTCATCTAAATTTTTGAAATTTAATGTTCTATTACCATTTTCATGTCATTTGCATTGTTACTAACAAAATATAGAATTGGCGGGATTTTGAATGTTTATTTCCATGGAAATTAATAAATATTATAGTATAAAATAAACGATTAAATAAACATATTTTAAAAAAATAAAATAATCAATTGTTTAAAATTATCTATTTAATGGGATAGCAAAAAAAGAAATCTATATTAGTGAAATTTCTTGAATTTTTTAATAATAATTATTGTAATTAATAATTAATAATAATTAATAATATTTAATTAATTAGTAATTAATAATAATTATTCGAAATAAAAAAGTCCTCACCAATTTTGATAATTTTTGAATATGCTGCAGAAATCAACATTTTAAACAATTCTTTTCCTTATATATTACCATCGTTTAGCCTCAGTTTTCGAGATATTTGCAAAAAAAAGAAATTGCTATTATTATAGAATTTCTATTATACATATATAAATAAGTCTAATTTTCCTTTTCCTCGATGTATTTTTTTTCATTATTTGTAACCATTATAATCTGTTAATACTATTTTTATATAAGATCTTTGGATTTTTTCTAATGTTGTTTAGCACATCGTTCATTTTTACACGTATGATCAGATTTTTGTATATCACATTATATTCAATAGAATTATATTCAATCATTTTTGTAAATATTTATTGAAAAAGATAGTAGCATATTAAAAAAAATCATTGCGAATATTATTATTTAAAAAACTATCAAAAAGAATTTTAATAGTATTTTATTCAACAATCAGTATTTTTTGTATTTGTCATCACCATAATTTCGTTCTCTCAATAAGACTTGATAATCAATTCTTAATTATTCAATAATGATTGTTTACACACAAATATATATTTCATTTGATTCTTATTAATATTTTAATAATTATTCTTCATAACCGATATTCATGAATAGAAGACGTTCAAATCGGTATAGCAGTCAAATTTGTTTTTCGAAAGTCCATAAACTGATTGATTTATATACTCTTATATGTAGTCTGTGATATGGATTATAAAGTATACGAATAGACTGCACATGACATCTGATGGGACTTTGTGTTAAATGTTCTAAAATATCGATCAAGTGTTTTTTGTCGCCCTCTACAATTTATTATGGTCAAGAGAAGAATTAATTCATTAGAGATGATAAAAGCATCTGTTGTCGATTTACATTGAATAATGGGATAGATCTATCTTATACTTCGTTTGTGGTATATATAAAAAAAATAAAAATAATATAAGAAAATCAATTAAACAATAATATTCGTGAGTGATTGGTATAAAAACATAATTCATTGCTATAAGAAAGTTATTGAATGATTAGTTATAAAATAGTTATAATTTATTAAAAATTAGATATAAGTTAACAATGCGTAATATAGAAATAAAAGCAAAAATTGATAACCCAGAACTTAAAATATCTCGAATTGTGCAATTAACTAAAGACAATGGTATCATCATGAAACAACACGATATTTTTTTCAAAGTAGCAGAAGGAAGATTAAAATTACGAAAATTTGAAGTAAGAAATATTTTTGATTCTATAAACAATTGTTAAAAATATTTTCCTAAAAATATTCTTTAGCTTAGCTTTATATATTATTATAAAATTTATTGAGATAAAATAATGTTATTTTCAAATAAAAATGTTAATTATATAAAAATTTATTTAATAATAAAGAAATTAATAAAGAAATATGCAATATATAGTTTCAATTTCTATATCTATGTATTTCTTTTCCTTTTTTTATGACATCCATAACCAATTAGATATCATTATTAAAAAGAAATGTCATCATTATTAAAAAGAAAAATAATAAAATTAAAATTAGAATAGAATATAAGATAAGATTAGATAAGATAGATAAGATTATTTAAAAATAGCATCTTTAATAAAAATTTTATTATAATAAAATATAGAAAAATAATCATTAGAAATAATTATTAATAATTTTCAATAACCGCAATGAGAGAAATATTTGTTTTACATATAGGATGGCTCAGGAGAATTAATTTATTATAAAAGATCTAATGTATTTGGTCCAAAACTTTGTGATTATGAAAAAGTAGCCTTGGATGAAAATGCTTGTAGTGGTATTGCAAATATCTTAATTGAATCAAATGGTTCTATAGGGATTGTAAAAAAAACTAGAAAGCTATACATGATTGATCAAACTCGTGTACATATTGATGATGTTGAAGGTTTAGGAAATTTTTTGGAATTAGAGGTTTGTAGTATCATAAATTATAATATATTAATAAATAAAAAATAATATGTTAGTATTATTATTTTAGGTAATTTTAAATGATGATCAAGACATAGAAAGTGGTGAGAAGATTGCTCAGGATTTAATGTCTAAGTTAGACATAAAAAGCGAAGATTTGATAGCAAATGCTTATATAGATTTACTTAGCAAATCTATTGAATAGCTATATTCAATAAAAATATATGTTTTGTGTATTTCTAAAATTATTTTTTACATTTTATAAAATTGTTAAATAAACGAAAATTCTTAAATAAAGTTTTTTTTTCTTTATACAAAATAATATATATATATATAAATTATAATCAGCAATAAATAATAATATTATTTTGATATTATATTTAATCAAATATATTGATAAAAATAGTAATTTCATTAAAAAGAATATTATTATGTTCAAAAAATTTGTAAACAATTAATCATAAAGAATCTCAAAAATAATTTTTAAAATTATCATTAAATTTAATATTAATAAAATAAAAGTTATTAGATGATTTTAAATAAAGCAGTCAATTTTGTATCATAAGAAAAAGACATATTAAAAAGAAAAGGCAAAAATAAACTGGCAATGGTATATTACGCTATCATAACCGGGATACGTTATAACGATAAGACTACTCTTCCTTCCTTTTTGATGATTACATTCGCTCGTCTCATTTCTTGTATATGAAAATTCTATATTAAAAAAATAATATTAAAAATAACTGTGACAAAAAAAATAATATTTTTAAGAATAAATTATGAAAATCTTTACAAAAATTAATAAAATTAATAGTTTTTTAATATTTATGATATTTATAACAAATATTTAAATCAAAAAATATAAAAATTATATAAAATATAAAATTTTTATAAATATTTAAATAACAGAAAAAATACAAAAAATTTTTAAAATTAAGATTTTACATATGTATTATTTGTATATATGTATATGTATATATATGCATATATATATATATATGTATTATGATATAAATATAATATCCAATGCTTAATCTATCATTTGATTATCGTAATATTTTGTTACTTTATACAATTGCAATTTCATACATATAATGAAAATTTAAAATTTTTTTAAAAACAAAAAACAATTTATTATGAATTGAGAATTTTGGAGAGTTACACTCTTGATCATGATTGAAGCATATTATTTTATTTTAAATGAAATTGATCACGAAAATCGAATTAAATGAGTAATTTATTTCATTAATAGAATATTCAAGATTAGTTTTTGGATTATCATTCTGTTATGTATATACTTATGTTATTTCATTTTTTTTTAGATTTTTATTAAATTTTTATTAAACTTTTATTAAACTGTCTAATTAAACTTTTCTCTCTATGATTAATCAATAAGATTAAAAGTAAATCGTAAAATCTAGAAATAAAAAGGATGCAATAGTGAAAAATTGTTATTTGCGAAATAGATATTTTTCTTGAAATTATAATTGAAAAATATACAATATATGAATATAATGTATCTTATCTTAATAGAAAACAAATAGTCAAAACTATCATCTTCATAAATGTTCATGATTATGTTCAATCTATAAAATTGCTATCAGAAGATATTGTATCAAATTATCTCCATAAAAAAAATATTTTATTACAGTTGAAGAAGGATCGAGATACTTAATAGTATTGGCTACAAACAAAAATGAGGAGAAGTAAAGGAAAACGAATACAAGTGTGTTGCACATGTGTGCAACTATACCAACTGTTTGTAAAAGAGTATTGTGATATGAATTATATGGAAAATATCTTTTAATTGTAAAATATATATTTAATTGCATAATATCATGAATAAACTTATTTTGTTATAAAATTATTAAGATAATTGATATTATATATTTATATTATTATGAATTTTGTTATATAATACCAAATAGATTTTATTTTTTATATTTCTATTATTTTTTTTTCCATATTATAACTATATATAAGTTAATATAAAAACTTAATATTTTCAGAACGAAAACTATACATATGAGTTGCATTAAATATGTTACACTAGCCATTAAGTTTATATATAATAATTTATTGTATTGTACTATGATTATGAGATTATTTCTTTATTGAATTTTTACTTAAACAATATAATTATATAAATAAATAATATAAATAAAATATTATATAAATAAAATTATAAAAATTTATGTTTAATATCAAAGATTGAATTTGAAGATTGATTTTTTTATCAAAAGATTGAAGAATAAAATAATAACTCATAATAATTAAAGTAGAAATTATATGATCGATCGATTTTGAAATTTTAATATTTTAAATATTTTTAAATAATTTCTAATATATTTAAAAAAAATGTATCCATTTAAAATATGATATCCATTTATTTATCTTATATATTTTTTATTTTATTTTCTTTTTTTTTCACTTTATTTTGAATATATTATATATATAAAGAATTTATTTTAATAAATACTAATAGTAACACTTTTTAAATAATTTAAAAAAAAATCTTTGAATCTTTCACAAAAAATTCCTCAAATCCATTAAAAATTTAACATTTCTCTGAATAGCAATCCTTAAAATTACCAATATAATAAAATATGATGATACTGTTTCGTTCAATCTCTTTCCATTCTATCTTTCGTTCAAATTTTCTTAATATATTAATTCAATAAATTAATAAAGATAAATGAAACGACAGCTTCTTTCATTAAAATTGCAAGCGGTTAATCTTCTATAAAAATTTTCCTTCTGGTCGCCCCCGCCCACATGTTCCTCCGCTCAGATTTAAGAACTTCGCTTTGTCCCTCGGCTGCGTCAGCACCCTCGTCACGAACTGACAGGAAGGGACCTTATTCTTCATACGGCACTGGTCGCTGTCGGAGGTTCTCCTTAACTGAGAAACACGCGAGAGAGACGCGTCACAAGAGGCGTCCACACGACGGTTGCCTCTCTCTTCCATACATTTTTCATCTAGTGATCGGCACAGTGTATCGCGGAAATCGAATGTGTCTTGGATCATCGGTTTTCGATCGATCTATTTGTTTCGTTCGATCATAATTGTGGATCCAGCCGTCTATCTGCTCATGGCACGAGACACATTCTCGAGGGAGGCACATCGAGTTAGGTAAGAAGTTTCTCGCTGTTCGTTCCTATTATTCTCGTTTCTCATACTCGATGTCGTTGCGTTTTCAAACACACTTGTAGTTTATTTGTGCTTGTTTTCAAGCTCAATTACATGTGAAACAATGCTTCTCTTTTGTTTTTTTATTGACAAGAAGCAAGGATGCGATGGAAGGTTGATTGATATGAGTAGAAGTTTATGTATAATGAGTATGTATATATATATATGTGTGTGAATGTGTGTGTGTGTGCATGAGTGTGTTTAGTTTTGATTAGATTTTTGGAGTTTTTGAAGATTTTGTTCATTGACAGAAAAATTTTAAATGGATTTTGATTTGAAAATTTGATATTTGGAATAAAAAATATCGAATTAAGTGAGTATATGAATTATTATAATTGAGTGTTATTTTAAAAGTAATAATTATTGTTAAATTAATTATATAAGTTAGTTTAATTGCATTTAAGTTTGTATTTAAGTTTTAAAATTTTGAATTTTAATTTTATGCTTGTTCTATAAGAGAATTTAGCTTCTTATTTTGAAGTAAGAATTGAACAGTGTTAATAATTTTTTTATGAATAAAATACAATATTAATGTAAGATTATATATTATTTTATATTATATATAATATATAATATAATATAATTAACATATTATATAGATAAGATATATCATAAAAATAATAAATATAATATGTATCAAGTTAATATATATATTATTTTGAGTATAAGAGACAATTATATTATAAGATATGTATTTATTATATATAAATATGTATTTTTTAATTTTTAATTAAAAAAATTAATTATGCCACCAAAATTACTCAATTTTGAAATAAAATATTTTTTAACTATGAAACATCTAATTACGAAAATGTACATTACAAATTTTTCGCATTTTTTTGTTTCAAATGAACGACTAGCAATTTATCAGACGTTCCAGATCTACGCAAGCATTAGTTTGGTCACTGAACTATATGCGCGATAAACATTTATAAAACCGGATTTCATTTATAGCGATTCTTATAGGCAAATATTAAATAATTAAAATATAGAAATAAATAATTAAAATACTAAAAAATATAATAATAGTTAATAAAATTCTATAATAACTGTTTTATTTATAATTCGAAACGTTTTGATTACACGATTTTTGATGAATTATTTATTATTTTTAATCTCTTAATTTGAGAGAATGACATTCAGAATTTATTAAAATTTCATTAATTTATATTGAAATTGATCGAAATTAAAAATAACGAAATTTAAGAGAATTCTAGTTTTTATTGACTATTTTATGTTATAGAATAGAAAGAGTGAAAAGCAATATTATATCGCAGTATCAATATAATCATGGTGATTCATCGTATCGTGAAAAAAATAATAAACGATAGATACTTAAATGATTTATATAATATAATATAATATAATAAAAGTGCATTGTAAAATTCTTGGTGTTTAAAGAAATTTTTCTTGTGAAATATTTTTTAAATTTAAAGAAAATTTCGAAACTTTTAATATTTATATTTAGAGTTTTATCTATTTGAATTATTTTTGTAAACTAAATGATTCATCGAATTTCCAAGAAAATATTAAATTAATAAAAAATTATATATATTTTCCAATTATAATGAATTCAAATTAAAAATATTTATTATTTGTATAAAATATATATTTATTAATCAATTTGATATATAAAATTTTACATATTAGATTTTATTAAAATTTTCATTAAGAAATTTGAAAATCCTTATTTTTTTTATAGAATCTTAAAATCTTAATTTTTTATTTATAAAAAATTTTTTTTTTAAATTTCAGATTAAATCGGGTTTAAAAATTTAACTAAACTGAAGAAGAGGGAAGAAAATGTCTCGAATATTAGTTCAAGCAATTTTGGCAATATTGTTATTTGCAATAACAATTGTATTAAGTAAGTATTATTTATTAATATATTTTAATAAAAACGTGTTAATTAATCAATAATATGTCACAATTATTGATAATTTCTTTTAGTATTTGTTTTTATCTAGAATTATATAATTTGTAAAATTTTATTACTTATATAAATAAGATTACTAATGATAATTAATTTAAAATAAATTGGAATAAAAATTTTTATATAAATTTATTATCATCTTTACGAATTAACAGATTTTTTAAATAAAATTTA